GAAGCATTCCATGTACATATATACGTAGTGTAAAGGAAAACGGCGAGAAACAACAAAGGCGTGTGTTTATAAGAAGACACACAAGCATAATGTTGTGTTTGATAGCCATTAAAAACTCAACAGCATATAATAACAAAGCTTATTTTGCCCTTTTGTTTATAATTACCTATAAATGATGCTACCATAGGCCTATTTACCCAAAAAACATATCAATGCGCAACACTTTTTTTACCTAGTTTCCTCCACAATTTCTACTTAGGCTCATAGCTGTACTGAAATCTCTTGCTCAGAGTTTGGTTTTGTGTTCTGCTCAATTATATTCAGGGTGTCTTGAATAATGAATTCAATTTAAAAGACAGTTTACTTTAAGTGATTACACATGCGAAGGGCAGGTGGCGCGCGGCAATCTGAAGAGAATATTTCACAATAATAAAATAAAAATCACAGCAGGTATAATTCATCTTATAGTTATTTCAGTATAATATGGTAGATCCAGTCAAGAAGTAGATGCATTGCAATCTGAAACGTTTGATATGGTGTGACCATAATATAGAGATCTTAAGGTACCTGGTGAGTCCTTTTAACAGAAAACAAATTTAGATAGACATGTACAAAAATGCAAGAGTAACATTTATACAAGCATCTATGGGAGGGACAAGTCCTACGGTTTTGTTGACATTGTACGTTTAGAACAGGGCACATACCTGTATTACATAGATTGTTTGTATATTTTGGTCATTAGATTGTTTGTCTCTTTTGACTGAAGGCATAGAAAAAGATACAAGGATGTACATGCCCATTTAGAATAGGGCAGTATGGCACAAACCAGTATTCCATAGATGTTGTTGACATTGTACATGTGCGCCAAGCCATACACCAGCTCCCTGATAACAGTGTTGAGCCCAAGGCAAAGGCCTCCACAACTTATAATGCATGCTTTCACTTCATCTGACTCAAAATTGACCTAACAAGATTGAAGTACAATTTCCGTCAGAAAAGACGCAAGTGATGCAGTCAATAACCAAAAGAGGTGCAAGTGATACCCTCTGACGGGGTCCAGCACGACCGAAGTGAACCCCCCGGCGGCTATTCTTTCGAACAACAACCTGCAATAGCAAATATAGCTACTTGTAAATCCACCATCGACCACAACATCAGATTGAAAACATTGAGTGACACTCTACATATACCTTTTGTGGTACGGTGTCATCTTCATTGACAAAATATTGCCTGATACCGATTAGAACAGAAGTTCCAGTGTCACATATACAGCATCCATGCTCAGAGACTTACCAAAGAGCCGAAAATCAAATAAACAATATAATGCAGGAGAAGCCTACAAAGCATACATATATTGATAGTAGTCGTTAATGATCATTGTCACAAGGCATGGACGGCCGAGTCAACGAAGCAGCAGATTACAAATATGGTAAGTTGTGGCAACAAACAATTCGTTCTGAAACCACATGAATGCCAACAGAGAATGGTAGAGGAGAATCACCTGCAACAATGCAGGTCCAAGGAAGCAACAGGCTTTAACAATGGCACCATAATGTGATGATCCTTGCTCCTTCCATAATGTGGATATTATTGGTGGTACATGAAAATCAACAGAGAAACATGTTCTAATTAGCATAGACTTACAGGGAACACCATAAAAAAAGAAAAACATATATTGTTTTATAAGCATATGGACGATTGTTTCTTATCATCATAATATTCATAGATGTGCATCATCAAGCCACCTGTGTTAGAGGTCACAATGTCCTTTCATTGGTGGCAGCAAATCAGGCAATTCTACAGCATCTAATGGAAAATAGAACAACATATTGTTTTATAAATGCAAAAGAACATTCAGTTACAACACATGCATTTATTCAGACACGGATCATGATAATAACAATACAAAAGAAGCATCCACCTTGAATAAATGAAGTCAGAAAGTGACATTCAGCTATGTAATAATGCAGTAAGCATCACTAAAAAATCGTTAGGAAGGAAATACATCAATATACATGCATATGAACCTACTATAAACAAAGTTGATGCTGGCATGGCCATCAGTTAACTTTACATCATCCAAGAAAATAGAACAATATTACCAGTTTGAGAGAACAGTAGCTTTATCATTGATGCACTGTGTAATGCTTCTATCATACCAATGACCATAGCCAATGACTAAATCACAACTAAATAAGCCTCTAACTGAACCAATCGCAAAGACCGACTAAAACAACATGTAAGGGATACAACACAGCTATGGAAATCAGGGAAATATGAGAGATAACTGGTGTCAAGTGTATGCCAGGAAATTTCTGAGCTTACTGGGAACATGGCTAGCTTAGTGTAACTATTCAGGAATGTTCTGTAATTAAGTAAACTCCTAGCAGAGAAAATGAATCTGCACCACTATAAGACC